CTGCTTGAAAAAAGAAATAAAGCTCTAAGAGACTTGTGACTTTTCCTGTCCAATTTGACAGCATGAAATCTAGAGACACATTCAGTTAAAAGATTTTGCTCACCTATCATAGAGGTTTACAGGCTCCAATGTCTCGCTGACATAAAACTCCCTCAGAATTAACTTTTCCCTCCAAAAAGAAAGCAGGGGAAAAATGTCCAGTCCCAGTGACCAGCAAACAAAGCTCTGTTCTCATATCCTGGTTGTCATGGTGACCTTCACTCTAAGAGCCAAAGAACAGAACTAATTGTAAAAGTCTATGTTTGTTCCCTCTATCACTATGTGTGGTAAAGTCATGTCCCTGCCAGACACATTTTGGGAACAGGTAAAATGTTTGTTTGGGGACAAATTACACATTCACATTGCATCAGTCCCAAATCCTTGCATTTCTCTCTCCAAAGGTTCCCACCACAATTTGGTTTGCCACTTGAAGGAACCAAAAGAGCCTGGGGCCATTTATAACCTAATTTAGATGAAGATGTCACAGGCCATACAGACATTTTGTGGGCTATTGCAACAGCAAGGTGAGATCATAGAAACATAGAATGGGGTAGGTTGGAAGAAACCTTAAAGGCCATCTAGTTCCTATTGCCCCTGTCATGGACAGGGACACCTTCCACTAGACCAGGTTGTTCAAAGCCTCATCCAGACTGGACTTGAACACTTCCAGGGATGGGACATCCTCAACTTCTCTGGGCAACCTATTCCGGTGCCTCACCACCCTCACAACAAAGAATGTCTTCCTAATATCTAATCTAAATCCACTGTCTTTCAGTTTAAAGCCAACACCCCTTGTTCTATCACTACTTTGTAAAAAGTCCCTCTCCAGCTTTTTTGCAGGCCTCTTTAGGCTCAAAGGTCACTCTAGTCGAGCTCTGTCTCCCAGCAGCAAATACTGGGGGAAGAAGATACAACCCTTGCCGTACGTAGCAGTCATAGACTCATAGAATCGACTGGGTTGGAAAAGACCTCTGTGATCATCAAGTCCAACCCTTGATCCAACACCACCGTGGTTACTAGACCATGGCACTAAGTGCCACATCCAGTCTCATCTTAAAAACCTCCAGGGACAGTGAATCCACCACTTCCCTGGGCAGCCCATTCCAATGTCTGATTGCTCGCTCTCTAAAAAATTTCTTCCTAATATCCAACCTAAACCTCCCCTGGAGGAGCTTAAGACCATGCTCTCTTGTCCTACTGCTCCCTTCCTCTTCCCTGCTCAGCTCACAGGTGAAATAAAGCACCCTCCCAATACAGAACTGAGCTCTCTTACAGCAGCTCTCCCCCCCCAGCATTTTGAAATAAATCCTCTGAGGACTGTAGATAGTTTCATGCAATAATACCTTTCTATGAATTTTTCAACTTTTCCCTTGTGAAAATCAATCACTCCTGTTTCTCCCCACCCTCCTCTCTCCTACTGATCTCATTTTCCATAAACTTCACATATTCACTACCGAGCTCGTGCATGAACTTAAACACAGTGTGTCACCCTTGAACTATTTCATATAAGTGACTGGATGTTTTAAGAAAAACACAGAAGACCCAAGTCCTGGTTAAACTTTCTGTTGCCTCTGTGCTGTATATTCCAAACTATTTACTCATTTCAGCTTTACCATTATTATTCACTATTGACTCAATATACTAGGTTTCTGCTCATCATGCCCTGCTCACAGCTGTGCTGGTTGAGACAACCCGGAAGACCTGCCTTGTCCTTTCCTTCTCTTCCCTTTCCAGTGGGGAACTGGAAATCAAATTGACTCCCAACTAATATTCTGTAATCTTTGCCTCTTTTACCATTACTTCTCTTCATAAAGTTCTTTTTATTATTCTTACATTATCAGTGGCTTTTTCAGCCTCTGATTTATCTAATCATAAAGACAAAACAAGTGATACCAACATACAGAGCTGCAGTTCACAAGTCACTGGGAAAGCCAGAACTACCTTTTCTAGCTTGTAGTTTCCAAATCACATGATTAAACATGCAGCCAATTTTCAGCGTGACTTTCAGAGCAAAAGTTAAAGTACTTATTGAGGTCTTTCACAGTTCTGTTTGCTTTGCCTAAATGGCAGAAGAGAAGGGAGACACCTGCAGAGCCATCTCTGCTAGACTGCTCCCACTTTGTGCCATTTCAACATATCGTGTATTTAAGTCAGATCAGTCCAACAATATTCAAGTTCTAATGTAGCAACTCTCTGGGCTCAAATACATGAAGAAATCACTGAGCTTTAGCTGAGCAATACTATAATTCTGTATAGACACATGATAATGTTAGGTAAGAGATGTTAGCTCATCCGAGGACTAAAGAATTCTCATTGGCACTGGTGTTGAGTGCTCCTCAAGCTGCAGGAAACAGTGCTCTCTGTTCCCTGGCAGAAATAAGATTACTGTAGGCAATGTTGTATCAGTGATGCCATCTGCTTGAAGGGACAATCAACTTCTTGTAACTTCTTTGCAGTTCTACTCTGCAAAAGCAAGAATGTTGTTTCCAGTGTCCCACCAAATTTTCTTCCACACTGTAGTGAAGTACAGAAAGATGTAGCAATAACGTGAATATGTGGCTGCACATCCACAAATCCTCTGAGCAGGAGATTCCTCACCTTCAACCTTGAATTTTCAAAGTGTTCTTGCTTAAAGCTGCCATCATCAAGCCCAAAGACAGAAACTAACCTAAGGATTAAACTCATCCATGGAAAAGCTTGACAGAAGTGTTCCATGCAAAATATAAACCAACTTACCTGAAACCATTTTATCCAGGATTGCATGGACCAACAAATCCAGTAATCAGTTCACAAGTTTGTACTTGTACTGCACTGAATCTGAACAATTTCATATTTGGTGACTATGCTGAATTACTACTAACAGTGGCTAATCCATAATTCTCTTTCCCCTGTTTCCTCAAGTCCAACAACCAAGGATAAAAGCTTTCTGATTTTTTTATTATTGCAGTATTTTTTAACTTTTTATTTCTTTACTCAAGTTCCTTTTAGATGTGTGTTTTGGGACCAAAAGAGGACAGAGCACTGCCAAATATAACACCACATTAATTCTCCTTGAATATAAAAAGTAGTTTTTCCTAAAACACAAAAAACATGCAGCTACTGCTTTTAAATCATGCACAGCACTAAAACCTTCCAATAGCCTGGATGAGGAAAGCAACTTCCAAGAAGCCTTGGGACGCAAATATTTGAGAATTTTTTATGGGAACACTACAGAGCTCTTAAGTGTGTACATTAGAATGCATCTGGAAATTGCAAACAATAATTGTCATCTTTCAGTCTCTTTTCTACTCTCTTAGTTCTCATTTCATTTCACCTGCTCTACACATGGCAATAAAAGGATTTCTGCAAGTGAACCTGAAAACCATGTCAGGGATCCATGGAGGTTTAGCATTTGTTTCAAAAGATTCTTCAGAGCATTTGTTCAAATGTGCCAACATTTTATTCCAATTAAGGCAAGATGTAACAGCCTAAACACAAACTTCCAGTTATGGAGTAAGAACTACTCAAAACTAAACAGGAGTGGCCACTACAAAGAAAAAATACGTATTTGATATTATAAAAGGTATCAAGAAAAAGTAACACAAAATCAAGACAAAACATTCCATTTCTACAAACTATGAAGTGCAAAGAAATGTGTATGTTTTCTAGTACTAATGTAACTTATTTTAATTTATCAGTCTTCTGTGGAATTCATGAGACTGCAGCTCTACTCCGGAAAAGTCTCTTTAAAAAGGCAGTGCAACTCCACAGGATTTTTGCTTCTCAAGTTTCTTACTCTGGGTGAGTAAATTCACCCAGGGACTTGTACATCAAAGCTAGACACATCTTGCCAGCTGCATCCCAAACTGCACTAAAGAATCTGTAGGATAAATTCTTGTTCCAAAGAACACATGTGACTAAATGGTTTTCAGCGCAAGTCATGCAGATGCAGCCAGGGGCAACATGCAGACCAACATTTGGATCTGAACTACCAATCCTATTGGTACGAGCTGTCACAAGCCAAGTGTGTTCTGCCCTCAAGTATCAGAGACAGAAGTAAAATTTTACAGTCCTCCCTCTGACATAAGCTCCATTTTGAGAGACACTCGCTATAAGAGACACACTGCACTCAAGTGCACTCACACCAAAATACTTCAAAACTAGAGTGAATTGTCACAAGCATTCCAAAACTTGCATTCCCAATTTCTGCTTCCTCAGTATTTAGGCCTTACAGATAGAGGAACACGTGAATGACAGCAGACTGATGACAGCAAAATACATCCCCATTGTATCTCCTCAACTTTTAAATACAAATCTGACAGGAAGAGAAAAAGATGCCGTCCACAAAAGGGAAGTGGATTTGTATTTCCACATTCAAGCAATTCAAAGCTGCTGCTTTTCTCTATGCACATCTAAACAGCCCTGGAGAAACTCTACAGCCTTGGCAAACTGCTTGTGGGAGTCTCACTGATGAGAGATGTTCCTCACTTTTGTACAAACCAGAACTGCGAGTGCTGAAGGACTGCAAAGAGGGGCTGTGTTATGGTCTCAGCTTGAGTGGGGGCAGGTGGGCTCCCTAAGACTTTTTGTCTCTCTTTTTAGTGCACTTTACAGGTGGTCCTGGAGACCTCGTTGCTGTCCTTTGCCTTCTGACAATCGCATGTCACTCTTTTTCTTTTAAACTTTTAATCCATTTCCAGCTCTCTGCCCATATTCAGAGTACACCAAACCAGGTGTTATTATTTAAAAAAATCCATTTTTCTTTGTCTGCAAAAATACGGTCCACAACATGCTCCTACCTCAAAGTCACAAATGTTCTTCATCCTGCCACTTCAAAGCTCTTGGCCAAAATAAGGTATTTTCAAGGACCGGCACCTTTTAACAAAGAGCTGCTTGATAAGGCATGGAAAGGAAAACGCTCATTTTTTCCTTGAGCTAAAAACTACTGAAGTTGGAAAAGGGGGGAAGGTAGTGAGGGCAAAACTTAAAAAAAAAGTCAGTTCAGCTGCTTCTGCCATCCACATCACATAATTGGTGACTTCACTTGAGCCTGAACACACACCAGCTTCCTTGTGTAATCCATCAAATGTGTTTTCAAGCCATGAGTTAACACACAACAGCATCAGCTGTTTTGGTTCTTGGGAAGTTACCATCCCTGTACACAACCTCTTTCTAAGATAATGCTGTAACCCTGCTGTCCATGGTCTAATTTAAAGGCACTGGCTTCAGCATTTACTGGGAACATGCACTTTTGGATGATCAATCTTTGTATTTTATGTGTGTCCATAAAGGTGCACGATATTGGGGTAGCCAACACTTCTTTGGGTGCAGAGGGGATAGGCAGACCTTGTGTGATGCTGCTGCTCCCAAACCACTATATAAGCCTGTTCCAAACCACTGCAAGGGCAGTACATTGCAAAGGGTCAGTCAAATTCCACTTGCTGTTCCAAAGTGTGCATAATTAACATTATGAGTCCAGCACCTATGCACTTCACTCCTCCAAAAAGCAAGGTTTTCTTTCCTCAGTTACATGCCCACAGTCACTGGCAGGACCATGTGTTACATCCTGGTAGGGAATATTTTATAGTACTGAAGTGTGCCCCACCTTTCAAATTCAGTGTACGAAAAATAACCGTAACATTTCACTTAGCTCCAAAAATAATCAAGAAGCAGGCTAGGGGTCAACATCTTGGCCACGGAAAGGAAACCAACCAAGCTAAATTATGTAGCTCTCATCTTGCCAACTTCTTCTATGTGCCAAACTAAACACAGACAAAACACAAATGTCAAGGAAAACTGTGAAGAAAGGGAAGACCCTGAAGATTCCATGAACCAGATGGTTTAGTCATGGAAATGGATGCAACTGTTGGTAACAGCTTTCTGTGCCTGTACCAACTTCTCATTCGATCAGTGTTTTCAGAAACTGGTAAATTCATTAACAGATACTTAAATTCAGGGTACTTTAAGTTTCAGGAAAAAAAGGTTTGTTTGGGTTTTATTTTCCTCCCTTTTAACAGGGTAATAAAAAGAACTGGCAAAAGAGCTCAAACCCATGGGGATACAGAAGCTTACAGATTTTTTCCCCCGAATATCCAAGTGGAAACACACATTTTGGCTCATGCATTCCACAGAATCCTTTTTTCTTAGCGCATGGAAAACAAACCCAGCTTTTCCTGTAGCTACAGAAAGTAAAGTGTGGGTCTCCCTTGTTAAGACCATTCTTGGAACTGGTGCTACTTTTCTTACTATATGAAGATACAAACTATGCCATACTACTGGATCCAACCAATTTGAGAACATAACTTCCAAACACAGCTTTCCGACTTCTTATATTTTACTGTCCTGCCCAAGGTTTTAAAGAGGGATTCTTGTATCAGAAAGCCTCTTTTATTTACCAGTATATATTTGTCCTGTGTCCCGTGCTTTTTATAAGATTTGAGACTGAAAAGAGAAAGGATCTTCGTCCATATATAAAAAGATGGAATTTCACAATAGCATCACCACCACTAGCAAAAAATGAATAAGAAGTGGCTTAAGTACCTCTAAATTTCAAAACTCTTATTTCACAGTCCTTCTTGAATAGCTGAAACCAGAAAACTAATTTATTTTTTTAGAAGCCCACATTTTCTTGAAATGAAGCCATGGTAATATGTTAATATTATAAGCACTGGTGTCTCAGCTCACTGCAGAATTAAGCTGGAGAAGAAAGTGGGCTCAGACACAGATGATTTTAATGGGAACACTTAGGAAAAGTCAGTCTTCAGCACTGTCAAAAAGATCAAATGAACATTGCCCGATACACTCTTCATTCTTCAAAACCTGACATTTTGCAGAATTATTGGCAATATCCATGTTTACAAACTTGGCAGAAAACAAATGTTTATTTTTACCCTAGAGTTGATTATCACACAAAAAAGCTTTAAAAATTTAAATCATAAGAACCTGTTGGTACTGCTGTTCACAACCATGCTGGTGTTCTGATCCCATTCACACCTCAACCGGTGCCCCTGAGGGCTTTACACATTGGCCAAGGAACTGGAAACTAATTTAGACTGCTTCACTGCACTAAGCCGCTCAAAACAATTTCATACAGCATTTTCACGATCATAAGTAAACAGAAAAATAACTGTTCTTCCTAGTAAAGAGGGAAACATACCACATTTTTTTTTCCACATCAGTGAGCAACTGAGGTTTTGGCTTCAGCAATGAGTTTGGTGTACCAGCTTCATGAATAATGTATGTAGTTGGTTTCTTCCCCAGTGTCCTCCTACCTGTTCTCATTCCAGCCTGAGTTAGTCCTGTCACAGCTATTGAACTGTGCACTGGAACCAGGAACAGATTTGGCAGCCCAAGACCACCATACCACACCAGTGTTACACACCTGTATTTTACCAGTGCCATTTCTACCCCAGTGAGTGAGGCAAACGCAGCCCCTACCCAGAGCAACTGCCCAGTGTTCTCTCTGGCAGACCTCTGTTCCTCAGACCTTTTATGACTATAACCTGATATTATTTGAAATACCTGCACTGTAGCACATAACAGTTTTGCTTTTCATTCTTCTAGGGTACGGCTCCCAAAAATCCTCACAAACACTGACAGAGGGTAAGTCTATCTCTGCGCCAGGTTGTTAACTTTAGTTCAGTTTGATCTGAAAATGAACACACTCCAACAAATCGTGACTTAAGTAAAATTTCCGTATGTATTATGTCAGTTACAGTTATGCAATGGCCAATATTAGTAAATTTGTAGCTAATATTAAATTAAAACTCTGAAAAAAACAGCGACAAACAGTTCCATGGCACGTACCATTTTTACCATGGGGATAATGCTCACCTTTTGTCCAAAGGGACAGTGGAAACAAGTATAAATATAGAAACTGTCTCAAAACTGCAAATCTAAGCCTATGTTAATGCTCTAAACTGTCACTGACTTCCACTAAAATTATTCAGATCCAAACATCAGCAATGATTTAGGACATCAATTTATAATGTAATGCTGGTGACCCTGTACCAGTCAGGCTGGATTGGTTTCTGTCCACAAAGCAAACTACAGAGTGGCAATATTTTATCACTGGTCTTGCCAGAGCATTTAGCATGTAAATATATTTTTTAGAGATATACACACACATTTCCCCAAATTCAACTGTGGCTGAGTATTCCTCTTCCAGTTTTCAATAATTTTTAAACAAATTAGATACCAAGCCCTTTCTGTTTGGATGCTTTGTTTTCTTTTTCCAGCCTGAATGAGTCTACAGATATTTTCTTAGTTATACAAGGCCAATGTTTCACTTTGCAAACATTGAAGATGAAGGAACACTTGAAGCTTCAGCACCAGAAGGAAAACAAGGAAGAGTGCAGAGGGTAGCTCCATTCGGAACCACAGAGCTATAACAATTATTGTTCCAGTTTGATACAAGTAACTCAAAAAAAGACTTTTATTCTAAGCAGTCCCATTGTTCCTGACAACCAAAGTGATTCTTATGTTGGATTGGACCTTCAAGACCCTTGAGCTGATACAGTTTGTAATCCTGCAGAACAGCAATGCAAACCAGTTCCCCATAAGCACTGGAGAGATAAGAATACTTGTAATCTCTTGCAAAATGTCATCTCAGTTTATTCAAAACATCACCTACTTCCTTAGAAAAAGGAGTCCATCATACTTGGAGTTTGTTCCTGTCTTTTTTTTGTTTTGTTGCTGGAGTATTGAGTTCTTGACCTAAGGTTTTATTTATATGTTAGGTTGAACGAGGGTAAGGAGAGAGAAGGAGCATCGTAATATTAGTAGATTAATTAATATTACTTGTGATGACACTGATGATTTTCCCTGTTTGTCCCCCATCTCTCTCTCCTTACTATCTTCATTTTGCTGTCTTCTTCAGTTTTTCCAGAGTGTTGTCAACAGAGCTGTAAAAGTTCCTTCCTTTGAGAGAACAACATTGCTGATTTCCAATAAGTGTTTGCTTCCATAGGAAGCAGATACCTGGCAGATTTGCAACGGAATGCTAAATCAGCTATGGAAGTTCTGCACTGTTGTCTGTTTCTGAGAAAGTCGCAGAAGTTCTTCTCTAATTGCTTTGATAAGAGAGGCTGATGAGTGACCTGGCTGGAGGTCCTCAGTGGAACTGGTGGTGTAGCAAAGGCCCTGGCCCTGAAGGCTGTTGTGTGGAAGCTGAGCAGGAGGTGCTGAGGGCTGTCTGGCTGAAGTCCTCGGCATCTGGAATACTGGTGAGGAGGAATATTCTTGGTGTCCATGCATATGCGTCTGGAAAAAGGTAGAAAGCATTATTGTACTTTCTGAATAAACATGATTATCCCAGAAAAGACAAGAAAGCAAAAAGGCGAAGAACAGAGGGGAAAGCAACATGGAGATGCTTCTATCTGCTGCAACTGTTCTTCTGCTACATGAATGAGTGATTCACAAAACAACAAGTGTACACAAAATTGTTGGACTGCCTCAAGTCCAGTGATTTTCAAAATCTCTTTCAGTATCCATTAAAAAGCCTTGACCACCTTTCCAATCTCTGGTATGTTTAGAAACTGAAGTGGAAGGAGGTGGGGAGAAAACCCACAGAACTGGAAGTCAACAGAATTGGCTTCTCTTTCCTTCCATCTCTATCAACTTCCTAAAAGACAACAGGCAAATCACTGTCTTCCTGGCTGTCATATCTCCATACTATTTATAAGCACAGATACTACTAGTTTGACCTTCCCTTTCTCTGCCTGGCTTGCCTGTTCAGACCGTACACTTTTGTGGACCCTGTGACTGACTGACCAGTGCCCAGGAAAACACAGTCAACAGAAGAAGCAGAAGGAGAAAACTACTCAGATTTGAAAGATTAGATTTTTCATTCTCAACATCTGTTTTACATATCTGAGAAACACTATCCCAGTTTAGGGACAATCACTGTTTCGGTGTAGAAAGGGGTTAATTCTGCATTTGTTCAGTAACATGCATTTTTTAAAAAAACAAGAGAGAAACAAAACAGAAGCCTGAGTTTATGGCTCCTCTATCTGGAAGAAAATCTGCTTACACTAAAACAAAGCATGAATTTACAGTACACTGGGTGACTGCACCAACTCCCAGTACGGACACAAACAATGTACATTTTGAAAATCTAAATTCCAGCTGACACCCCAGAAGCAAGAGTTTCCCCTTGCCTCATACTGCTGAAGGCTGAGAGACAGCCAGAAGAAAACACTGGACACAAAGGACTCGAACACACAATTGGGAGCAAAGCAGTGTAATCCCCTTTCAGAGGGTCTGCACTGGGGATGGGGAGCAGCCACCTGCAGCAAATTCAGATCACAGTCATCACAATTCAGTGAGCACTACCTTTCTCTGTAGATAAGCCTTAAGTAGTAGCAGAGAGAGCAACCTGATGGGGGAAGAAAGGACAGCAAGGTCAGCTAGAAGGGGATTTGGGAGTGAGGGGGAGGGGAATGAAGGGATTACAAAGCAGAGCCTGGGAAGGATATGGGGGACCTAGAGCGAGTTTGGCAGCAGTGTGCAGGGAACACAAAAATGGGTGGGAGTAAGTTCCTTAACATCTCTCATAATATCATAGAATAGAATTTAAGCCATTTTTTATGAAGTAGAACTAATAATAGATTTTTGACTCTCTTGCACAGCTCACGTACAGCACTCATCATTTACACAGTTAATTTGGGGAGACAGATTAGGAAGAAAAGAGGCTTTAATAGAAGAATGACAGGTAAGGGTTTTCCAAGTAACATCCTGTCTTATATCTTATAAAAGAGAGGTGATTTCAGTATCAGAAGGAAATGAATGAGTCTCTTGATTGTTCAGAATTATTCATTTGGCAGTGAAACCTGAAACTAATTCGTATGTGCAGCCTAGAGTTGGCAAACCTGACAAGTACTCTGTGGGTTTATAGAGAAGAGATGACATAAGAAAATATTAAAAGCAAACATTCCCTGATACATGAGTCTTAACAGCATCCTAAATTATATTCATGTTATTTCACATTCAAATGCATTACATGATTCAGCTCCTACCTCACACTGCATTGCATTACTACCATAAGAATGGTTACAGGGGAATTAGAGAGGGAGTTAGAAAGAACATCTGATGACCTCAGTGGCTGTCTTTTACATTAAGGTTATCAAGGTTTTCTTAAATATCTAAGAAAAAGAAAAGTATATGTTTCTGTGATTTCCCATATAACATCAGAATTAAACAGGCCTGACAACTTTCAATACCACATTGGTTTAGAAACCTAACGTCTACTAAACTACAACAGCAAAATAAGGAGGCCAAAACCACTCATATGTTTTTTCAGTTTGCTGGTTTTTTCTACTTTTAAATTTCTTTACTAACAGAAATACACATTGGTATATTATATATGTAAAAATATATCGTTTTATATCGTATTCATAAATTTTAGATTTTTATCTAGAAACTTTTGCATAATTAACAGCAGTACAAAAAAATTGACAAAGCCATATTTACTGAATCTTCCTTCTTACAAAATGAAGATTTATGAGATCACTTTGTAAATTTATTAATCCTCATTTAATACCTGTTGTACTCTGGCCAATTTCAACTGAACTGGATGTATAAATATATACACAGACATATGTGTATATATATATATATGAACAGATATATAAAATTCACAAAACCAGGTAGCTAATTAGAAATAACCCGATCTGTGCTATCACTGAATCTGCTTCTGAGTGGCAGAAAGGTCAAGTTAGGCTGTGCTCATGTAGACCTGTCAGGCAGCACATATCTCACAGGGGCCACCTGGGGTACATGACAGACAGCTTTAAGAATGGTCAGATTGTTTAGACACACTACAGTGGGCAGCTGGAGTAGAAAAATAGAGTGAAAGGGTAAGAGTAGCTTTGGGGAAACACTGCAAACCTGGAGAAGACTTGGGAGAACAATGGAGACCTATAAGGGACTGTAGATGGGTAGGAGATGATGCCAGGTGGTGGTAGGGAGGTAGAGATATGCAAGACACTCCACCCACCTGTAAGAAACCAGGCTTTGTTTGTTCTGCTGCTCAAATGAGCACTGGCTCAGTATTGTATTTTGTGTCAGCTAAGGAAATCCTGTAATTCTCCTGGTTGCCTAGGTCTCCTAGATGGAGAATTAAGGTGAATGGATGGTACCCTGCACACTGGCTTTGGGCTGGGAGGTACAAATGCAGATCCTTCTCCGGTTTGCATGTGAGAAGAATGATCTAGATTCTAATCTTCCTAAGTGCAGAGTTTAATTTTAGAAACTTGCTCAGAATGAGGGAACAGTAAGACTGTTTGCAAAGGATCAGTTGAATAGTGCACCATAAGGAACATGATTGTTATTAAGTAAAGCCTCATTTCCAAAAGGAGGAAAGATAAATTTAGAGCTCTGTCCTAGTGAAAATATCCAAACTCTGATGGTAATTATTTAAATACAGAAAGCTACAAGACTAAGGCTTTTTTTTTTAATGGGAAGAATCCTTTGCAAAAAAAACCAAAATACTGTTCATAGGAAAAGGAAAGTGTGGGAAACAGGTGAGCTCTCCTACAACTGAATGACATGATAGTCAGATAAGTTTTAGTCCATGATCTCCTCCTTTTGCTTTTTTTTTTTTAATAACTGAAAAAAATTCACATTGCAGTAATATATGAACTCCAGCAACCAGTGAGCAAAAAGTTCTGTCAAAGCTGAGGCATTTGCCTCAGATGAACTAAAAGAAAGTCAATCAGGACTGAAATGACGTGAACACACCTGAAACTGTGACTGAAGGTGCAAACTGCAACCAAATCAGATTGCATTGGGCCGTGAATTTTTGAAAGCTGTGCAGGTAACTCTTTGTATAAGATCTCATATAATGGGTCCACCTGAACTTTCAGTAATAAGTTAGCAATTCATGTAATAAAACATTAAGAAAGTAACAGTCGAATATGCACTTGAGAGGCAGAAGGGACAGGCCCACAGATTTAGAAAAGTCCCTTTCAGAAAAGAGAGACAAGTGTTAAGAAGGGTCAATGAATGGTAACCAGAGATGTCTCTGAAAATGGAACAGGAGACACTAAGATCTCTCATGCAAGTGTTCTTTTCTATGTAAAATGAAATTGTGATGATCTTGCATTCAAATACTACAGTTTCAAGCACAGAGAGCACATTAAATTAGAAAAAAATACACCTTTCAGCTTTGACAGATAAAGTTTTTGAATAGTACCAATAGAATTTGTTTCTAGTGCGCCTAGTTCTCAAAAGCTTTATGCTGCTCCTCTCCAGCTCAATTCCACCAAAATCTCAAAATAAGGCCATCTTGCTGCACTTCCTTTCTGCAAAGCTGTTTCAAGATCATGCAGTACTGCATAGCAAATTCAAGTAGTGTGAACACACACTGCTCTAAGCATGCAAAAGGAGGAGAACCTGCCTTCCTCCCTCGAGATAAAAAATCAGAAAAAGATTGTTTAAGCAAAGAAGCAAAAGAAGCATAAAGCTGTCGCTCTCTAGAGTACTACCACAGAGCTGTCACAGGTCAGTCTGCTTCAGGATGCAAGTACACCAAAGAAGGACTGGAAGCAGGCAACTGTCTCTCTCCTGGAAAGGCCATATACTATCTTCAACCTCACATATCTGGTTGAATCAGAAATGTCAGCCTCTAGAAGCACCACCGCCAAGAACATGGAATCACCATGGCTGCCTAGGCAACACTGGTAAATGAATACATATTAATTTACCACATCCTGCTGACTGAGGCTAGGAAAATAACTTGTTCAGAAACACCTCTAATGTTACATGCAACTATGCAGCTTATTCTTTTGCCCTGACTCCTGCTGTTGTGCACCAATACAGAAGACAAAAGAAATACACCCATACAAAGTAGGATGGTAGTCTGGGACAATTTAATTCAATGTTTTCTACTTACAATGATCTCAAAATACAGAGGCATATTTCAAAGAAGAAATGGAAAGCAGTATCCACCTCTGCTGGAGCTCAGAAGCAGAACTGGATGAACTGCAATTAATGGGTGAAGGCCTCAAGTGAGAAAAAAAAAGGTTAGGGTAAAATGAGAGAAAGCAGTTAGAGAGAAGCAAAGGTGAAAGAACAGCAAGCAGAAGTTGGAATAACTAACAAGGGTTCGAAGAGCAAAGCAAAGAATGTCAGAGAAGCAACTGAAAGTATTCCAGGGGTAAAAAGTTCCAAACAGTAATGCAGGAAAAAAATACCCAAACATATCACTACTTTGGAAACTATGCAAATGTGTAACACAGTACTCACTGCATCTCGCCTAGCACATTCATCCTCTCCACGGTACTGGGGCCACCCTGGCCCCCCCGGCTGGCCATGCCCTGCTCTGCCTGAGGGGATCTCCACTTGTTGACCTCCGATCCTGCTAGCAATTCCCACCTGAGTGAGGTGCTGTATCTGAGAACCTTAAAAGCAAATATTGTTTTTTTCATCTTTATACACAGTCAAGTTTGCAGGGCAGACAAATGACAACATAAAACTTTGTTGGAAGCAGGAAACAAGAAGAAAATGAAGCTCTGTTTCTGTGCAATTAATAAAAATCAGCAGAAAGAAGGCTGTCAGTGTAGAACAAAGAAGGAAAAGTTATGTGCATTTTGTGCAGTTCATTTGAGTGTGATGCATTTCATTTCACTGCACTGAAAGATCAGGTTGAGATACGTGGATCTCAGACATCCCAGCCCTTTCCAAACAGCGTTTACTAAAAGCTCTGGCAATGCTTTCATGTAAATTACTTAGCAGCAAAGAGAAGACATTTGCTCCTGTGGCACACCTTACTTGCATCACACTAGCAGGACCCTAACTCTCTGCCTTCTGTTCCATCCCTCAGAAGAATAAAATACATGTCTATGTAAGACTGTGGTTCTTTGAGCTGTGCTTTGTGGTTAAATATTAAACGATGCTGTCATTAACTAACGGGAAGGTCAGAACACGCTGTATCTCCTTTCAGTCTGAAAGCTAACCTCCTCCTTTCTCCTTTTCCTTCCCTTCCCTCCCCTCCTGCTGCTTTCAAACACATGCAAAGGATAGCCGCCACCATTAATTGCAAGAGACATGTAACGACATGCCAGCTTTCCTTCTTCCTGAATTTTCCCACAGAGAAACGTAATTTTTTTTACTATTATAATTATTAAAATAATATTTTATTATTCCTTAGAAATAAAACACATTTAACCCAGAGATACATAAAACTGTGTGTATGTACAAAAAGGGAGGAAAAGACAAAAACAACAGTGTGATTTAAGTGATGGACAGTTAGATCACTTTCATATTTTCCTCTTAAAAACCCCCAATATTTGACAAGTTTGATATTCACACATAATTATGCTGAAGAACAGAAACTAAATATATGAATTACCTCCAAGCTTTAAAGCAGAATAGATATGAACATTTAGATAATAGTGCGAATCAGTGAATAAAATAACCATAATTAAACTGTAATAGTTACTATATTCCTACCATTCTCATTCTTTTAGCATTTACAGGGAGAGGAACTATCAAAACTAGGCTTCTGACATGAGTATATGATCGTATTTCCAATCTTTTTCAATTCTCCAGGAAGAAAATATTTATCTGGGAGAAAATTAACTGTGACATTTGCATAACAATACAATCTTTTATTCTTAGAATCAGTGTTTGCTGCTTAATTGCCATATGATGTTAGCATCTTATTCATGATAGCATTGATGAGTGCTATGGAAATTATCTCACAACCAAATCAGGGAAGGTGATTTCCTATGGGACAGCAGCAATAGATAGTATAATCACAAACTAAAGGATCCTGCTTTTATGCATACAATTCTAGGAAAAGAAATGAGAAACACGTAGGAAAGTACTAAACAAATTTTGCTATTTAGCATGCTGATTTGGGATGCATCAATTGGCTTGTTTAGCAAAAAAGAAGTAGCTGGCAGTGGAAAGTTAGCACACACTGTACTCCCTAAAACAAGTAATTTTCCATTCTTAGAGAATGAGGTTTTGTGAAAATATGCTTTGTGATAACCAGTGCCTGTAAGATATTAAAACGGTGGCAAAGCACTGCCTTTTTCTGCAAGGTCCTGTGGATGTAAAGTTAACCTCATTTTGCAATGATTTTTTTTTTTGGGCAATGAAGGCAAGGACCTGAAGGAGAATGACATCTTAATGGTGACCTTGGCAAAAGGGTAGGTACCGAAAGGGATCAGTTATTTTAGTGCACATTCAACTCAAGTGAAGTGTACCTGCAGTGCTCCCAACGGGCCGTGGCCGTGCCACTGAGGGCATTTCCTCTGAGTACATCCCTCTGGAGGAATACGGAACGTCAGGCGGTGGCTGCTCAGGGTGCATTAACTCTGCAGGTTGAAGGAAACCTGGTCCAAAGTTCTGTCTGTGGAAATGGAGTCAAGATTAAAATAAGTGAATTCCCTAACCAGAAACAATAATGTAGGCATACCTCATACAACAGCTCTTTACGAGGCCTTTTACTGTACATTATAACCTTAAATGTTCAAGAAAATATTTACACCTGAAGAGCATAATCCTCCTCCGTGATCTGAACTGCACAGGAATAGTATAACAGAAGTTTACACAAGTGTTTTCACATGTTGCAGTCTCCTCAAAGCAAGGGAAAATGTCCACAGATCTTGAGATCTTGTTTTCCCCTTAGGGAAAAAAGGATCTTCAAAAACAGAAAAATAGGATAAGAGTAGTGATGTAGCTGCTTACCTCAGTAAGAAAGCTGACTACTCTAGATTTTCTGGGTACACAGTTTTGGTCTAAAACCATACAAAGTGCATTACATGTGTATTTCACAAACAATTATTACTTCATCAAGCATTCTGATAATTTTCCAGGAAGTTTTCAAATTTTTTGCTCTTGAAGATTCATCAAAATACTCAAAGCTGTAATTAGCACATATGAAGAGTAATGTATACTAAAGTTAATGTTTCCTATAAATCAGGCTGGTGCTGGTAGTCACTGTTATATATTTACTGAAAGAGTTAACAACAGAAACTGTAATCAATCTAACTTCACTAATTGTGCCAAGGTAAGTGCACTTGTAAAAGAAACCCTATAATTAATTCACTGAACAGGGACAGAGAGGGAGATGGAAATGCTGCTTTTCTTATGCTTCCTATTAACATATGTTAACCCTGCCATGGCGAGATTGCATTTTAAAGGACTGATGGTAGTTGACTTTTCAGGGGTTATCAATTCCTATCAATATAGTGGAAGTGTGGATGCCCAAACTTCATGTGCTTAGGTTACTAGGCTCGCCTCAGCCTCCAGGTATAATCAGAGGCACTTCTCAAGAGGCATCCAAAGCAGAAGATTACCTTAAACCGCTTTCTGCAGGAGCTTCTCACTGGTGAGTATAAATGAAGCAAAGTGAGACAAACATCCCAACTCAGGCACATGAAATCACAAAAAGTGAGGACTGGGGATGACTTTTATATGCCTTTTACCACAATGGCATCTAACCCCATCTATGGTTATGGACTGCAATGTATCCTATTCCTCAAGACCTCAATTTTACATCCCTTTGTTTTACAGGAAAATCCTGTGACTGTATCTAACTCAAACTATTCTTGATTTGTGCTTTATTTGGAAAACTACCCACCTTTGTATGACAGCCAGAGAGAAAAGAAAGTTGACGTAATAATAAACTGACTAACAAAGCCAAATAAGAGCCTATTAATTAGCACCAAAAAGTAATTGTAAATTGAAGTACCAGGTACTTGGCATACAGTATTACTAAATGGAGGAGGTATAAGACCTTCAAGCTGTAACAGTCTTGCTGTGGAAGTGCTAGAATTTCCCCAGCTCCCTTACATACAGTTCCACCTGTCCACTCAGCAGATCCAAAGGAAACCATTTCCAACCACACCTACAAACCAGTTAAAATAAATGCTTCAATGGGTAGGTAATGTTTAACAGTATCACTTCTGTTATGTTAATCACTGCAATCAGTAAAGGATGTGATCATCTGGCTTTTTATGCCTGAAGTGTTGAGCTGGAATTTTGAAACTGATGAATTGCTACAACTTTTTGATGTTTTCTAAAGAAAATATTTTTTCAACATCACTGCAAATGTATTATTATTGTGCTAACTTTTCAGAGGACAGGAAGTATATCCTTTATGGCTGATGTGTTTGTACTTGAAAGGTACACATTTAATAACCCTTTACCCTCTCTTCTCAACCTTGTTTATAATATAGATATAGCTTCTCTTTAAAGTCAGAGATCAACAGAGGAGTATTAAACTGGAATACAGCTCTGCATCTATATCATACAGGCTTTCTAGTGCTCCTTCCTATATCCAGTTTTCGACTTTTGCACATTCAAAAGAAGAAAATTAATCCCCAGTCATTTAATTAAGTGGGGAGATACCATCCCAAAAATCAATTTTACACCACTAATCCACTATGGCTAAGTAGCTCTATCTCTGTTGCATGATGCAATATCCTTTTTCTGGCAAAAACTGTTCACTGTGCCTTTATGTTTGCCTAGTTGTTATGTGACCTAGGTCTTTTACATTTAATTTTTTGCCCCAGGTTGGTTCCACCCCATTAAAGATGCTGACTGCATTAGTATAGAGAAGAGAACAGTACGCTCACTCAACTATTATTCCATGCACTGCATATTTAAGCCAATGGACTATGACATTGATACCACCTAATCACACTGACCTCAGGTTATTTTTCCTTCCTCTAATTGGTAAACTGGTTCTATTTGTTTATCATTATCTTCAGAATTTGAGAATACCTCCCATTGCACAACCATGACAACTCTTTCCTTGTTTTCTATCAACCAAGCTTTAGGAAACTTTCTATTTTAATGAAAATTTAAAGGAACTCTTTCTGTTACGGTCAATGACCTTGCAGATTGTTAACTTAATCTGTCTGCACTGGCAAAGGCAGTATTTAAACTTTTAATCATGATGCAATTAATTTGTGACTTACATAAATTCAGAGTGCCTATGTCAAAAGGTGATAAATTTTTAAACAGAAAATATATTGCAAAAACACTATCCTGCTCAGGTGTACTAATATGGGCTACAGCACTTTCATGGTTAATTTATCATATTTTCCCTGAATGTGTAACAGGCCGACAAAGAGCAAATCCTCAATAACAAACCACTGGTTATGCTTTGTATTGGCAGTCTCAAAGCTCATAATGTTCAAGGTAACCTAAATTACCAAAAATACACCACATGTCATACTGTGTTCCACTTCATGTACACTCACACTGAAACTGCCACCTCCAGACAAGACCTAGGTAAGAAAACATGCTTGGAAACTCCTCCTTTTCTACTTGGCCCTTTCAAAATCAGGTTGCAGAACAACAAATAAAGTTCTTCATATCCATTTTACCATCAAGTTTCCAAGGCAGTGAATACTTCAGGTGAATTCTAATGAATGCCATGGATACCAGCAGGGTTTCATCTCATATGGTGAGCCGTAAGAAAGTAACGAGAGAGCAGCACAAGGCCACCATTTCACCACCTTGGCTGCAGCGGCTTAGAGAGGGTGAGACAAGTCTGAACACAGTGGGTACCATGACTCAAGGTTCACCTTGACACGTAGACAAAACACAGATGCCAAGTGGGAAATTAGCAAGCACCTGGACAACCATTTTCTCTTTACGCAATTCTCCCATAGCAAGGGCAGGAGAAGATGGAAAAATTGTTTTTTCCCTTATTTTATAATAATAGGCCTGCCAGGCAGGTTTTTTCTATGAGGGTCACTGTGCTCTGTCATTTGTTCTCAACTTGGTTAAAAATAGAATGAATCTGTTAGTCATATGAAAGCTTTTGCAAGTGAGTGTTGCCCTGAGGATACAGAAACAAGATGAAAGTCAGAGCATTGGGAGAATTACATGCATCTGAGTAACAGTTTCAGGCTCTCCAAAAGCTGAAACTCAGTGGTTTACTGAATATTTGGAAGGATATCTCTATAGCCAAGGGGCTAGAAACACATTTCTTTTAAACACATTCCATACCACACACATATGTCATGCATGCTACATAAATAAATTACAAAGACTGGATCTGGACTCTTGTTACTTCTCATTTATACAGTACTTTGCATAATAATATGCCAGTGACAGTAAGAAATCTGGAATAATTGCAAGGAAAATAATAAATTATAATTTTATCAGTGAAAAGTTACCTTGGTAGGAGACCTGGTGCTGTTGGCGGAGTCATTCCAAATTCCATATATCTCTGTCAGAAGAATGAAAAAAAAAACCCAAATAAAAATCAAAATGCTTACCCTTGGAAGCCCACTGTCAGTCTTTTAAGAGGTGAATGGCAGAGATCTCTAGGCCTGTATGTGTGACTGGATGGCAGCCATAAGAGCTTGGTTATACACACACAGAAGCACAAGAAGATCTGGGAATCACTGCGACAGCAAGCTACTCTCTAATGCAAGTCTTAACTTAAAAACCGCCCAGAAACGCTTTCTCTCATGTGCAGAAGATCAAGGGCTGCTCCAATGTCTGCTTAGCTGAAAACTTTCAGCAAACCAAGCTTTGCATTTGGAAATCTCATTAGACCTCAACCAGCATAAGACTGCAGCAGAGAGACCACAGGGCTCAGACTCAACAGAACTCGAGATGACCTAAAGGATTATCCGTGTGTTTCAGTGCTCCATTAAATGCAAAAAGTCATACACAGAAATACTGCTTCCCTATCCCTCACCTCTTGAAAGCATTTGGATACTCTGATGAAAAACATGACCCAAGTCAAATGTTTCTTTTTTTCGTTGTCAAGTTACCACATATATTTAAAACAAATCAAGTTTTACTCTTGGACATGGCAAGACTGATCTGCGCAAGATCCTAACTGAGAAGAACAGAAAAGTTATCCTAAAGGAGAGCTCCTATATTTTCTTGTGGTTGAGATGGGAAAAGAATCCAAATAGCTTAAAAGCAAATTCAACATCTTGTGATGGTCCTTTCTGAATTCTCCTGGTTCCAGGAACTGTCCCACATTTGTGGCAAGTCCTGACAGCAAGGGCACAGTAACAGTGACCGTGGCTCAACCGGTGCTAACTACCTGTCCAGAAAAAACCTTTAACTTGCATCACTCACATTAAATGGGTTGTTTACTGCCTGAGTTGGACCATAAGGAGATCCCCACTGGGGGCATGTGGTTCCCCTCCCTGCTGGAGCAGGAGTGTTGTTTACCGGCTGTCCTGCAGAGACCCCGGGCGGTGCCACAGCCGTGGAATTGGCAGCTTGGCTGCTGGGAGCCACCAGCGCAAAGGCGTCATCCAGCAGCGAGTGCATGGTCTGCCGAGCCTCTTCAATGGACGGCTGCGGGGGCACGTACTGCGACACCGGGTGGGAGGGCAAGCCAGGGAACTTCCCCAGATCGGCTGAAGATGATGTCTGAGGTTCAGGAGGCAAGTCTGGATCAGACTGGAGGAAACAGAAAGATGGTGAAGGGCAGCTAGGGAAGGGAAGATTTAACAGCCAGCTTCTAAGCCCCTGTGAGCCTTAAGTCTGAGCAACATTGTCTTTGCCAGATCACAGCGGGACAAACGGCACAAGTGCTGGTGCTGGACAACACCTGCCCCTTACCCTCCTCAATTCTGCATGCATATATGCATGCACATACATAACACCAGCTGTTCAAATACTTCATTCAGTGTGATCTGAAAGACATTGATCTCAGATAAGGCAGCAGAGTTTTGTGCAGGAGTTACTCAGCTATAGGAATCTTGTGGTTTGCAAGCACGTAGTGAAATCACGCACTTCTCCACCCAGAAAAAGACAATCAGCTCCATCTACATCTTTGACTTCTTTGCAGTTTTTGCAGTTCCAAGAAATTAATTCAGTCTTTAGCTTATAACTGACCACATCAGCAATAACATTAAACAATTATTACCTCCTAGAAAAACACACAAAGGAAGCTGTTAAGGATCTAAGTGGTTGCCTGCATGGAACTTGAACTTGGGTGCATCACCTGAATGGGATTCATGTAAGTGCTTCATAGCAGCAATGCCTGAGGCATGCATCATAATTACTACCTGGGATCTTACCACATGGGCTTATTGTTCATCAGCAAGAGGAAATTAAAAGAGCTTTGCAGCAGCAGACTTATTATCAAAGCTCATTCTTACCACTGCATACAGACTGCAAAATCAGTTGTCAAGAGGCACAAGCCTCTACTTTATTCGGAACTTAGCATTCTGAGCACTGTCTCGCTACAGATGCCAAAGGGGCTGAGCCTGCTGTGTGACATGTCTTAATTAAACAGTTTCAGATGATAATTCATTCTGCTGCAGCATGACATTAAAATCATCACACTCATGTTTGAAGGCAGAAGGAAACTGCAGAAATCGACATTGTAGTCACCTGACTGCATATGCAGCTAATGGTGAAATTCTTAAAATCTTTAAATCATCTTTCAAGATGAAAACTGTCCAGGGGTTTCCAATATTAGCATTAGGCTTAGTGAAGTCTGCTTAGAAGTGGTTAAAGATGCCTAAATACAGTTTGTGACATGGATATGATTGAACAGAAGTATTCTCCAGGGTCTGCTTTTTTTCGACAGGAAACAAAATTAATTTTCAAGACATTGCATTAGAATTGTTTCAAGCTACTGTAGTACAAAGACATGTTTCTTTTCCATTAATAATTAATTCCCACATTTTAAAGATGAGAAAATTTCTCACAAAATGAACTGAGTCTTCCATTCTGCGAGAGCAAAGGGTGAAATTTTCTGTAGCATATGAATATATAACATCCAGCAAATTGGACTAGAGTGAAACTATGTTCAAGATATTATGGAACATGCCAAGCACACTTTCATGTGCATAACCCAGTGGCATTAATGCAAACAAGGCTTTGCTTCTTGGCTTCTAATATCAAGGAATACTTGGCAGAATTTTACCGCTTAATAGTGACAGACTGTCAATTAAATCTTTATTTCACTTTGATTTACATGCTAACTACACGTGACTGAAACTAGCCATGTAGACCATAGTCAGAAGGCCAAAATCCTCCCAATGTCACAACCGTCATTATGATTACCAGAACATTCCTGCCATCACAGACATACATACAATATATGCAGAATTATTGACTCCTGGAGGCCTTTTGTATGTCCCATCACTGTCAGTTGTGATTAACCTGTCCTTTTCGGCATCAATCGGACTCCCATTTATCTGATGTCGCCGGCGCTGCTTGGGAGAACGTTTTGCACGAGAACTTAAGGGGAAGAAAAGAAAAAGCAGAGAGAGAGAGAGAAAGGTAATCACATTTCTTTTTGCAATTTTTATTCTCATCCCACTCAAGCTTGAACTCCTCTGTCCATTTCCTCCAAGTCATCCTTGCCTCAGCCCTGCTTCTCTTTCCTTTCCCAGTTTTTCATGCCAGTTCCATTAGGTAGCCTCAAATCTCTCTCCTCGAGCTCTCCTAACAACACTCTCCTTGGCAACTCTCCAAAATGTCCCATTTCTCCCTCAAATTCTTTCTAGTGTCACCTCCCTTCTATATTCATCTGTCAAAGTTGCCTGTGCTCCAGTTCTCCCTGCCAGTGCCTCTCCAGGTCTCCCAGACCAATGACACATCTGCAGTAGCAGAACAGACCACACTGCCAAGAAGGCTTTGTGCTTGGCACATTGGGTTTAACCCCACCAGGCAAACCAGCTGAGGAACACACACAGCTGGAGAAAAGCTACTTTCTATCATTGCAGAACCAGTCACAGCATACTAGTGCTCCAGAAACAAAGTGCTGGTATTCATAAGCCCTAAACAGAAGCCAGGGAAAACTTTCTCTGAAAATACAAGGCCAGGAAGGCAGATCTGTGAGGCTGCCTCATAATCTTTTATGTATTCCCTCTGGGTAATCTCATTGATTTGTGAATTTGCCTTTAACAGTCAAAATCTCCATGTTTTTTAGGTTGTTCAAGGTTTTTCTTATTTTGCTTATTTTCCCCTCCCTTTATAAAAATACTATTACTTGCAGGTTATGTTTTCTATGCATCTTTTTTAGTGCTGATATTGTAATTTTGATCCCTCTACACCACACAAGAATTATTCAAACAAATGGCTGAGTAAATACTAAATTGTTTTAAGACAGTTTCCATGCATTTGGGCTTATTTATCAAGAATTCATTGCTGAGAACTTGTTAAAGAATAATGTGAAAGCAAAACATACTGATATATAGTGAAATAAATCAAAATGCTTAGAACAATCCAATCCTTCTCACCTAGATAACTCAAATTCAACCAGTGATCAAAATGATTTTAAGCTCTGAAAGTTAAGAAGTACAGTTTTGATGTACTTTGGGCACTGACTCTAAAAGAAAATTGCTCTTTCCATCTCTGAAATCCATACCTCTTCCTGGGCTCTATGAAGACTGTAGGCACGCTGCCTCCAGGGTCCAAGATCTTGTCAATCTGCATCTGTGCCTTGCGATATATTCTGTGCTGTTCTTTGGAGTCAACCACCACCACGTCGTCCACCACTGGAAATTCATAGTGCCCTTTACGCTTGGCGCGAAGGCGAATCTTATTGCGGTGATGCTCGATCTCAGATTTATGCCTCAGGGCTGTCTGTATCTTAAAGGAGGAAGGGGGGGGGGAAAGAAAAAGAATCGCATTTTTCACTTGGATATTTTGCAAACTGGATTTTGCTGCTCTTCCACGACCCTCTCCTCCCCACCTCTCTGTCTGCCTCTCCCTCCTTCACCCCTCCCTCCCCCAAATCTCTGAAGGACTAAAATAAGTCACATAATTAACAAACACACTTTCTTTCTCGGGTATTTTTCAGTATCCTCATTGTCTCCCCAGGTAGATGTACTATTATACACAACAGGACTGCCAGCACAGCAGGTGCAATTAGAAGGAGGTGGCAGTTTGTTAGCAAAAGGCGGGAGGAACACAAAAAACTCCTGCTGTCTGCCAGAAGTGACACTGCTCTGAAAAAATAAGACTAACCAGACTGTAGTTAGCTTTGCTTGTCCAACAGAGATACATTTGATCAATAGTGATGAAATCTGTCACCCACTCCCTTTAATGACCTTCATCACCTATGAAGCAAGAACTTAAGGAGCTAACTGAGCTCATAACTCAATGCCTCTGCTGAGCATGAGAGGCCACCATAAGCTATGCAGGCATGTAGCAGCAACAGAAGGGCCCAGGTCCCTGGATGAACATGTCACTATCAGCTCTACATCTTATTGCACGCTGAGGTTTCATGCCTTTCTCCCACCCTTTTTCAAATTTCCTGCAGTGCATCTCATTATCTGGGAAAAGCTATTGTAACACCACATTTCGTAAGTCCTGGCCCAACATTCACTGAAATCATTCTTATCACTGGAAAACACTTGAGCACCAGATCAGGTAGCAACAACTGCTTTTGCCTGTGCTGGACTAGTCCTGGAATACATCTGCATCAGCAAATTAAAAAGCAAATAAAAATTGATTTTTGTGTATTCTTTCATGAAAATCCCTAAAAAGCATATAATGGACACAAGTCAGACTTACTATTTACATTTATAGTTAGAATTATGTGTCTTCTGCCCATATAATGAGATTTCTTTTCTGTGGCTCCTCTTGCCTGCGTATCCTAGATATATGTGTTTACCTCTCTTCCACAGGGTACTCAGAAACACAGAATCTTAAAGTTAAGTTACAGGCTGCAGTAATCTTCCACTCTGAATTACGAGAAGGTGTCATCTTATACTCAATACAAAACAAAGATGCTGGTATGTGGTAGTGTCAGGCAGTGTATCACTTTTATAGTGCACCACCTTTCCTCCTCATGCCCCAGCCACGCTTATATTCTGCTTACAGTAATGTGAGGCCTCAGAGAAAGCAGGAAGTTTCTGTATGTTTACTGTCAGATAAACACATCAGAAGTTGAAAGCAATGAATGTGCTGCAAACTCACACCCCAGAATATTTTGAGATAAGTTCTTTGTATAATCCACATCCTGAGTTGCTGAAAATTCAAGTGAATAATGTAAAATGAAAACCAAGGTGGGCCACGTGTTCCAACTCTCACACATTAATTAACACAACTCTAATTAAATCATGTCCTGATGAATAGCAAAAGGATGCTGACATGAGGTATCCCAACCATCAAATTTGCTCCTCTCCCATTGTTTAATTTTTGGTTTAGATACCTCTTAAAAACAGGTCAGATTCTTCCTCTGGACTGAAACAGGATTATTCCTGTAACTTGTCACGATTTAATTCCTCAGGAACTAAGGAGGAACTCCTGATAACAAGAAACTGGGTACTTTTCACTTCTCTCTTGGCTGGGCATACAGTCCTCCAAAAACATTCAAAGCACTTTACCTCTTTATTAATTTTGTTGGTCTCTGCCACTCGATCAGAAAGCACTGAGTTCTGAACCGGAGGTGCTGCCATCGGTTGCATAGCAATCAGCTGGATCTTGCTTGGGACCCGTCTGCTGGCATCTGAGGAGCGAGACATCCTGTCCACATGTTCAAAGATGGAGGCTGAGGAGTGCTGCTCATTTCCACTGCTGGTCTGAGGGGGTCCTAAATCACCAGAACCAACAGAGAGTAAAGCAGCACTGCCAGGGTTATCTCAGTCACATTTTAAGCTCTACAGATGCTGTGCTACAAGACTATGCCATGTTTTCCATCTGTGTTTAATTTGCCCTACAGGCCTTCCAGCTGATTCACATTTAGTGTACAACAAGTTTACCCCGTGGTTTGCAAATGATAAACATTTTTCCATTATATTTCCAGAAGGTGAGCTGTCATTCTTTATTTCTGTAAATCAAGCTCTTGGCATTTGCAAACCCCCAAAATCTCAATCTAGTTTACTTCATAAAAAGCTGTTCAAGTACATACTGCTAATGGTTCCTCTTATCAGTACTTAAGGAGATGCAAATTGCTCAAATGGAGGTTCAAAGAGCAATGAAAGATGTCTCAATGCAAAATGTATTTCTTAAGTGATAGGAGTGATATAGGAACTAAACAAAAAAACCTCTTAGAAGTCCACACAAACCACAAAGAATTTCATGAACGGTTTACTGAATAAAGCTTTTAAAGCAGTCTTTTTCTCTGTGACAGGATAAATAGTTCAGATTGTAATAAGCAAGCTGTACAAATATTGCCTTGTAATTTGTTGAAAAGGTTAAACCAACTCAAATACGGTCAGCAAACGACAGAAACTAATATGCATGGAAGTTGCAGCCCAGGTCCTGCCAACAGTTAATCACTTCAACAGAAACAGGTCATCTCTTTCAAAAGACTTGAAATCTGTAGGATCACCCCAACGGTTTGCAGTTAAGCACAGATTTGATTATTTTTTTCAAGTGAGACCTAAACCAGGAACTGTTACGCAGATGAGGCTTGCAAAAGCTGTTCAAAGCTTGCAAAGGAACCTTTTGTCTTGTCCACATGGTAAATCCACACATTTTCAAACTGCTTTTCACCATGAAATACGAACTGTGAGATCAAGATTTGTCACTCTCCTTAAGGAGGAACACAACAGTGTGGAGGAACATAATCCCACATCCTTGCACAGACAATAAGGGTTCTTAAGATTCAAATCAGGAGGTAAATCTCACTTGACTGTGATACAGAATCAGTTGTTGCTCAACACTATCCAACTACAACAGACAAAAGCAGGAAAATAAAATAGTGACTGCTCTGATCCATTTGCAACATGTACTGGTAATGCAGGATAGGGTTCAGAAGAGGAGTGAATGCTATCTTCTGTAGAAGATCACAGTAGATTACTTGCTCCTTTGCTTCCCTCTTCTAGCACAAAAAGGGAGCAGGAGAAGGAAGGAATGGTACACTTTATTATATTCACAGCACATTACTTTTGGGCTGGAAAGTAATCCGGCCACAAATTGAGCAAAATTCTTGTTCTTCATATTTCTCACAGTTGATCAATGGATTGCCAAATGTACCCATTTATAAATGGTATTCACATTTATAAATGTGACTTTTCTGTATGTGTCATTAAAAAGAAGGTAAACAGTTCCTTTCAAGACCTCTGTGTCCCAAATGTTTTGCAAGACACCGAGACTAAATGAAATATATCCATCTCTCTTCTATAGCTATTTATATCATCTTTACCATTTGTCATCTTTAAAGCCCAATCTTCATGCATTTCTCAGAAGTGTGCAAGCATTGCCTCTCACAGAGAGGGGCACAAGATATATTAAGTAGTTAGTGTGAATCCCTCAGAGCAATTGTGTAGTCAGTAGAAATCTGACCTTCTGAATCCATCTTTCCCATTTTCCCCACCACACATTAGTAATTTTTTTCCAACCTTTCCACTCTAACAGCCATTCTCAAGCTCACTGACCTCCAACCTAAAATTTTAAGGTTATTTTCATATTACTTGGTTAGCAAGGTCCAACATATTCAATTACACTAAGCATTCACTCTGACTCTTTATAATTTCATCCATAACCTCCCCTTTTACACACACAAACAAGTGCTTGGCAGAGGCCTCTTAGCAGAAACAGGCTTATACTCATTTTGTAAAACTGTCCAAAAGTCCCACTGACAAATTTTGGTAAGGCTCTACAGTAACACTGTATGTAACTCCCTTTTGCAGAAAAGATACACATACACAGAAAACCCTCATAAGCTGCATCTGACCTTTAAATCTCCTGTGTGTGCATACACTGAATGTGTCTATAAATACAGAGTACAGTAAAGCAGATAAAGTCAGCAAAACAAGAAATGGTTTTAACTCAACACATAAATAAGCAAAAAGTTTTGACAGAGAGAATAACTCCTCATTTCGAAGTTCTTATATTACACTTTTGTCCATGCTTAGAAAATCTTCCTTATAAAGCTATCAGATGGCACTACATGAAAGAAAATTTGATCTCAGACTAGTCACCTGAGGCTAAAAAGTAATGGAGAGGAATTAATACCCCAATACTGGGCAGAACACATTTAAGCAAGTAGTCCATATAGGTCACATGTCAGGATCAATGTTCATCACTGTTCCCTGAGTTGTACTACTAATTGAATTGAAATGTCAGGGAGATTAATTGCTCTGCAGAAAGCTACAATTTCATATGAAAACCAACACAGTCAAAGACAGAGGAAGCTTACTGCTTCCTGCACCCTCTTGAAATAAAAACAAGAGACATGGCAACCAAAAGGCATAAGGCCTTATCCAAAATGAGATTAAGTCAATGGGATTCTTCCTCTGATCCACTGGTATCTGAATCAGCCAGAGTATGCAGTTTCAGATACATTTCATACCGTTTCTTTGTATTCCAGTAGGTTATGTCCCTAGGATGCAGCTGATGACTCATTAAACCCAACAATGGAATGCATCATAACCATTCTATCCATCCTTCTCTACCATTGTAAGATGGACACTGCTGTCAGAGGACACAGTCCTTATTTTATCATTAGATATGTTATGTATTATTAAAGACAGTGTCAGCTTTCCCCTGCCCTGTGTTTGCTGTGTCTCAATCCTGGCCAGGAAAACACTAGTTCAGGAGAAAATATTTTATGCTTTTTTGCAGGTAGCTTGTGTTTGCCTTGGGTTTCCAGTAAAGAAATTAACTTCTAACAATACCTCTAACTTGCTTATACAAAGCTAGTTTCAGGACCAACAGCTGCCTTAGTTTTGCATCTTTCACAGTCATGTTTTCCTCAATAATTTGAAAAAATTGGGAGGAAATTAGAAAAATGTACCAGATGACTATAATTTGTGTCACTGAGATTTTTTTTTTATAGTTCAACAGCTCAAAAGCAATTTTGGTTTTTTAGACTCAGAAGACAAACCCTGCCATCCTTAAGATATAATAGCAGCTACCCCAGCACCTCTATTCATATTTGTAGTCAACTACCAGCTCTGGTTACTTACCCACTCTGTTTGCTCCTGACAACATAAAGGAAAAAGAAGAGACAACACAGTAATTATGACAAATAATTCAGCTGAAATGGTAACTGGAAAAAAAACACAGCAGCAAGATGATTGCATTTACTTTTGAATGAAATTCATGAACTTGGATCAAACTGCCAAGCCTCAGCTGCACAAAAAGGGAGCTGAATCTCCCAATTTAACAGAGAGCTCTCTCCAGACAGTGCCTGCAATTCTGAATGCTAAAAATAGTCCCTATGATTACCAAACTAGAGGCACCAAATGCTGCAAAAATAGTGCATTTGATCCAGTAAGCACATGATGAGTAGAAAGGACACAATTTACACAGTATCCTTGCCGCCTTTATCAGGTAATTCATATGCAGCAACACCCAACATTTCTACACCAAATCAAAATGCTAAACCTTTAAGTTTTAAGCCAGACAGAAAATGAAGAGACGAAAATGTAGTTCCCAGGTAAGAAGAAATGGGAGAACACTAAATCAGAGCAATGGAATTGAAGTCAGATAGGTTGGAGCAACTCAAACCATTCTGAGTTCTGTCACAGCATAATTGTTCTCCTATACGTTTTCACTTGGGCATGATTTCTGGTCCTTAGAGCAAACCTAAGGCATTGAAAACATGTAGCATCAAGACAGTATCTTCCTTTGTAAATTCTGTAAAGTATATACAGCATATGCTGCCTGCTGAATTATTAGAAAGTTTAACTTTTTAGTCACATCAGCAGATCCTGTGCTTTGTTTTCTTACCCATTCATTACATAGGAAAGCCTGATCCATCAACCCTTGCTCTTCCAGGAGTAGTCCACATTGCAAAAGTTTAAGAATCACACATCATTTAAGCTGCTGTTTAGCCACCCAAAAGCTAGCTGTTTATATAATAAACTATCTTACATAGTCCTCATTTCTGCAACATAAAGAAAAACTGAATATCTATTGTCTGCTATGACCTTAATTTCACTGGCACTGCGTTCCTCAGAAGTCATCTTTACATCTCAGCTGGTATTTCACAGAGGGTGTGGAAAAACACTCAATATACCAAAGAGACTACTCACAATGTGGTCAATATTTTCATCTTCTCCTAATTTTCTGTTGCCATCAAGGCCATGTGTATTAAAAACTGATGAGGATATCACAAACTCCTTTACCAGACAGTCAGAATTTGCTCTAGGAAGACTACTGTGATTTAAGGCAAAGATGTGGTAGCTAAAACCACAAACAAGGAACAAGCCATCTAAACCAAAAGGCTCTCACAAAAAACACTTACATGTTTGTGTAGGCACAGTTAACCACACACTTTTAAACCGGAAAAGAATTTAAAAGAATGTTTTAGTTAAAAAATGAAAGTGCATTTTCACTGTTTTATCAACTTTTCAATGAGAAAAGAAATATATTTTAGGGTACCTCCAAGACAAATGGTATTTTAACTGGAAGGAAGATGGTTCTTTACAAAAAAATACCACTGTTATTAACATATTAGCACTGGATTTTCATCTTTTGAAAACGCAATCATGCAGGCATTTTGATGTCTGAATTAGAACTTATTTGTAAGATTTTTACCTCTCTGATCTCTTTTTTTTTTTAATCTCACTTTTTCAAAGTTACAGTTAAAGACACACAGTATTAAGTCCTGCTGTGACCTCTACTGCCCAAGTAACTGTCTGCAATTCCGGTACCACGAGCCACAATTAGGCCTAAATGGAAAGAGTTCTGTCAGGGGGTGTGTTCGGGACAAAAGGAGGGAAGATCCATTCCTGCTAAGCCATTAGTTTCAAAAGCTTGCTGGAATGAAAGGAATGTGTAGCTCTTCAGTTTCACCGGAAAAAAACTAAATCAAAAAGGAAAGGATTTTCTGCGATCAAATCCAGAAAAATCAACAACCAAAGATGAACTTACGAAAGTTACAGCACCACAGTAACTCTTCAACCTGAGTAAAGCTCTGCTAGTGCACACAAGGAAAAAAAACAGTAACAAACCTTTCTTCACTGCTCTGCGTGGTTTGCCCTCGTTTGCAGTTGATGGTCTTGCAGTTTCCTCTCCAGTCTCTCTCCCGCTGGATTGTTCACTGGCTGTGGAGTCAGCATCTGATGGCGAAATTCTGCCACAAACAAAACAATATTTGCAAGTCTGCAAAGGGGCAGAATTCTCACACTCAAAGAATCCTGCACTAAAATATCTTGTGAAGACTGCTAAACTTTTCCCCTGTTTTTAAGTAAATTCTTAATACATTATCGTAGCCAGATATTCATTGCCATGATGTCATTGCGTGCGAAAACTGACTGCAACAGGATTCACATGGGACAATATTATTATGTAATCTTTCCTTTAAAATACACTACAAGAAAAAAACCTCTGCATTCATAAGTAACAGTTTATTCTTCAGACAGAAGATAATTATATTAGGAATAAAAAACTCATAGGTAACCAGTGTAACATTCAGCCTTGCTAACTTGGTGTTGTCTTGCCAACAATACAAGACCACATGAGTATTCTCCTGACTAGTCAAATGTAGGGCCATTCAAAAATGCTTCTTTTATGTATTTATCCCATGCAGTCATGAGATTCTTCAAAAGCATTTTTAACCTAAAAATTACAATCTCAGTGTTCATAGCTTTTGTGGGAGATACAGAAAAATAAAAAAAATACTTCAACTGTAAAATTATTCAGATAGCAGTATAAAAATAAAAAAAAACACAGGGCACACACTACTGCCTAGTTGACACCAAAGCCTGTCTTTTCATATGGGATCAGCCTTTGTGACAGTGTCTCTAGTGACCATTTTGTCTTATGAACATTCATATTCTATTCTGGCAGGGAGTTAATCACTGAAAGTGTGCACATGTCTGTGCATTAACTTCATTAGTGCAGGATTTGCTTGGGCTAGATGGATATCTGAAATAGTTACTGAGGCTCTTGGCTAAGCATCAACCTGCCTAGAGCCCACAGACTAAGATAACTATATCCAGCTTGACAAGTCCATTGCAAGTTAAATCTACTCCTTGCAGCAGGCAATGCTCCAGCTCCAAATTGACTTCCTTATTTTTCCTCACAGAACAATGCATTGATCTGCAGGATCATAATACTAATGTCAAATCCCAATGAAAAAAAAATACTGCAGGGAAAAGAGGATCAATGGTCCTCAGTGAGCTTACAGACCTGCATCATTGCATCTTTTTCTAAGGTGGAAGGTGTGTAGAGCTATCATCTCCATCACCTTTGCCTTGGTTCAGCAGAGTATAAGGCTGGAGTTCTTCTTTCCAGATTTCCCACCAACTTTGTTTCACCTCATTGTGCTCTGCGTTCCTTCATACTCTTTCCTCAGTCTATCTAAATGATCATTAAGTTATAGGAACATAAACAGTGCTGAATCAACATCAGTCATTCCTTAAAAGTGCTGAGGAATATGTAGTTGTATCCTCTCAAGCCAAAACAATGGGTCCAATTCTCAGCTGGAGCCCAGAGATGCTGTGCTTTCTGAATTCAGCTGCTCTTGTTTGTTGTTTTTCACAGATACAGAACATGTACTCACATCACCACTATATTTCCTGGCATGCAACATACAATCCTGAATTGCGCTGTGATGAATCGAGTTCTGTATTTCCTCACAAAACAGCAACCAGCTAAACCCAACATAACACAGTATGATATCATTTCATATTTCAACTTCTACCTCAGGGAATAAATGTTTTAAATCGCAAGCTGACATGGGCATGTCAGCATGGTAGGGAGATGACAGTAACATCTCCATAGTTAAGTCTAAAGGAAGATTTGTTCTTAAGGGAGTATGAGGGAGAAGAGGGAAATTCTCTTTTGAACTACAAGTTAGTCACTCATCTCTGTGCCTAGCAAAACCATGGAGCAGACCCTCCTGGAAACTACGCTAAGGCACATGAAAAATAAGGAGGGACTTGGTGACAGTCAACATGGCTTCACTAAGAGCAAATCATGTGTGACATACTTTGAGACCTTCTACAATGGGGTCATGGCACTGGTGGATAAGGGAAGAACAACTGACATCTACCTGGACCTGTGCAAAGCATTTGACACTGTCCCACATGACATCCTTGTCCCTAAATTCGAGATACGTGGATGTGACAAATAGAAAATTTGGCAAGAAATTGACTGGATGGTCACACTCGAAGAGTTGTGGTCAATGGCTCAATGTCCAAGTGGAGAGCAGTGACAAGTGGCATTCCTCAGGGGTCAATACTGGTATTGATGCTGTGTAACATCTTTGTCAGCGATACAGACAGTGGGATCAAGTGCATCCTCAGCAAGTTCTCTAACGACACCGAGCTCTGTGGTGTGGTCAACACACTGGAGGGAAGGGATGCCATCCAGATGGACCTTGACAGGTTTGAGAAGTGGGGACATGTGAAACTCATTAAGTTCAACAAGGTTAAGTGCAAGGTCCTACACGTGGTTCAGGGCAATCCCAAACAAAAACACAGGCTGGGAGGAGAATGGGTTGAGAGCAGCTCTGAGGAAAAGAACTTGGGGCTATTGGTGGATGAGAAGCTCAACATGAGCCAGCCATGTGCACTTGTAGCCTAGAGAGCCAAATGTATCCTGGGTTGCATTAAAAGCAGGTTGAGGGAGGGGATTCTGCCCTTCTACTCCACTCTCGTGAGACTCCACCTGGAGTACTGCATCCAGCTCTAGGGCCCAATATCAGGACCTGCTGGAGTGAGTCCAGAGGACAGTCATGAAGATGATCAGAGGGATGGAGCATCTCTGCTATGAGGAAAGGTTTAAAGAGTTACAGCTGCTGAGCCTGGACTAGAGAAGGCTCCAGGGAGATCTTATCATAGCCTTCCAGTACCTGAAGGAAGCCTACAAGAGAGCTGGAGAGGGACTTTTTAAAGGGCATGTAGTGATAGGACAAGAGGGAATGGCTTTAAACTGAAATAGGGTAGTTTTAGACTAGATATTAGAAAGAAATTCTTTACTGTGGGGGTGGTGAGACATGGAACAGGTTGCCTAGAGAATCTGTGGATGCCACATACCTGCAAGTGTTTAAATCCAGGTTGGATGGGGCTCTGAGCAACCTGGTCTAGTGAAAGGTGTCCCTGCTCGTGGCACGGGGGTTGGAACAAGATGATCTTTAAGGTTCCTTCCAACCCAAACCATTCTATGATTTGACACTTAATTAGATGCTATTAAAAAAAAAAATCTTTATTCCAAATTTGATCAATGATTCACTATTATCTTCGGGGGAATCATTAAAATGTTGGCTTCTGAAATTTGTCCTGCTTAATTCTCTGAATTATTCTAGATGAAATATAGTAACAACCTCAAATTTAAACTTATATCTTATGCTGATGTGCATATAAATATAGATATCTTCCCTTTCCCAAGGTATCATCTCTGTCTTAGGCCACTATTGAACTTTTAAAAAGAAACACAGAAACACCCATCCTTCTGATTTATATTACTTTGTTTTAATTTATGTAAGCTACACCAGAATGAGTTAGCTCATTTTTCTTCTATTATTTTCCAATTTTGCCCACATTCCACTGTACCACTGGTAGTCTACTACTTACAAGGTCTATAGGGAGTTAGGAAGACAGGCTTAGCATCTGGAAAGGGGGAAACTGAGCTTTATGAAGCCCACATGGGGAAGATGAAGTAAGGATCTTAAGACAACTGGGGCTTTAGAGAAAGCACAGAAGGCTGAACAGAGGAGCAAGCTGTGTCACAGAGATCTACAGCTCAGTTAGAATCACCATTAGTTTCCTTCTAAGCTCATTCAACTCTGCCCTTGATTGATTCCTTTTTTTTTCTCCCACCATGAAGCATCATGTAGGTATAAGCACAGGGGATGCAGAGCTGGAGACAGAGGAGTGCACATATGAGAGTGAGGGAGAGGAAGAAGAATTACTGGAAAGTGGAGCACAGGGGAGCTCAGCTCCTCAGAGTTCCATTTTTTCCCCTCAGCTTTTACCTTCCCACTTCTCTCTTTTTTTTTGTGCACAGATCCTTCTTTACTGTGTAGCTTTGTTACAGCAGGTATCCCACACAGTTCTTTCCAGCAAAACACGCTTGATTATTGGAAAACGTTAGCAAATTTGTGCTGAGGTTAACAGACATTTCTCCACTTGCACAGCTGAAAATTATCACTGCTTTTTCTGACTAAGGCTGGTTTGCTATGAGAGTAACCAGATTATTGTAAGTAAAAACATTCATGCATCTTCCCTGAATTTTGGAGATATAGCTTATCATTGGAAATCCCAACTCTTCGTGCATATGTTGGTCACTATTAACGTTATTGAAACACGTTACTATTTGTCAATGGCTTTCATTTGTTTTAACCACCCATTGTCTTAGTAGCTAGAGATCACATCAAAGAGACTGCACTGGAAAACATACACTTGATGTTTCTAGTAAAGCAATGACTTGACTCTAGTCAACTCAACAGTGTCTTAAATACTGCTCTTAGCTGGGTATGTTCCCTTTAAGAGAAAAATGTACACTAAATTTTCACAATCTTGTACGAATGAGTAGTGAGGTATAACTGACAGCTCACTAGAAAACACAAAGTTTCAGAGCTCTGGAACAGTTATTTCCACTGAAATTGCCCTAAAAATACTATAATCGCTAGCCATTAATAAAGTGTTGTCTACTACAATTTGTTTTATCTCTGAACTGACCTCCCTCTGTGTCGAACAGTCTTTGAAGGCTTTGTGGAAGTCTTGGATTTGGGGCTGGGCACATCTCCATTTTCAGATGGGGTAGTATCCTTAATAGGTCCTGGTAAAGGAGCTGGCTCGTGGATAATCAGGACATCATCTTTATTGTGCTGGCCCAGATGCTGCTTAGCAAAATCAAAGCCTTTCACACTGGGGGCTTGTAGCTGTGAGAAAAGAACAAAGACAAAAGACAGGAACTGTGAGTGACAATGAGTACAAAGGCTTTGGCTCAGATCTACAAACAGTGGCCACTAGGAGGATGGTTAGGCTATGGTAGTCTCAGGAATGAACATGAGAGCTGCAGGGAAAAGAAAAACTCTCCACAATTCTGTCATCTTACATATGATACACAGTTTAAAACTCCAAATCAGTAAACCAAGTTAAAAAATAGCCTTCTGATGCTGCTACATATTTTTTTTTTGCAGCTATTTCTTCAAATTTCATCACTGTGTGAGAAGCTTTTTGTGTACTTGTGAGTGCAAAGCACAGTACACCTGTGTACTGACTGAAACAGTTGCCAGTGCCAGGTCATCTTTTCATTTCTTCCAGTCAAAATGGATGAAAGATTTAAAATAATTTGAATAATGTCACTGTTGATCTTTCTCATTTTGAGCTCCCCAAATCTGCAGAAGTGTGGAAGTGCTTGTACAAACATCTAGTTCATCTGATGAAAGATTAACATTCTGCAGATCTGAGTTATACAGCAGCCCGGTAATTACTTTTTCAGTCAGCATGGATTCCTCCAGGAAAGAACTGAAACGTAGCTCTTAGGAATTTCATACTGAATAGACAGAAAAATATATAAAAAACTTTGGAATTCAGAGAAATTATCCTAGAGATCTTATTGAAGGATTATGGATTCAATGCACATCTTGCTTGAGAAAACTTTGGAATTTAGAGAAATTATCCTAGAGATCTTATTGAAGGATTATGGATTCAATGCACATCTTGCTTGAGAAAGACACAGACTTGGGCCTTCTATTTTCTTAAGTGTATTTATAAAAAAAGCTAATCTCACCTTGTCAATGACTTGATTCAGACTTAATTTAATCAAGACTCCAAGTTTCAAGCGCTCTGCTGATTTTTTGGGGCTTTGGAGTAGTTAGAAATTCTGAAGAACTAATTAAGAGAAAGTTTTTCTTCAAATCCCACTCACTTTTACATAGTTTGAAAGCAGAAAGAAGCGACGACAACCCGAGTTTCCAAAGTGCGTGCACGCATCCCCACTGCACACCACACGCACGAACCCCTACGTGTGTGTTCCTAGAGCTGATTTCCTGCAAAGTGAAGCACGTGCTGGAGTGTGTGTATGGGTGCGTCGGGTTCCAGATGTTTAAATGAACCCCCTTTCATAAAGCTTGGCATGCCAGCATGACTAACTGCAAGCAGACTCGTCTGATATCATGCCAAAGATAAGCTTGCCTAAGGAATATTCTGAAACAATCTCTTCAAAATATTTTCTCAGTAAGCAAACATCTTCCAAATGGTTCTTAGAAAGGGTGATGCAGTCGAGCAAACCGTATTTAAACCAGTAGATGGCAATAAAAGCTCTTCTGAAAAATCCAGCAGTGCTCTGAATGGGTGAGGGTTTGGAGTTCATTTCTTACACAAAATGAGTAAGCTTATTATTTGAACAGATCTGGATGTCTTCCACTATACTCCATTTGTCTTGGGCTTTACAACAGTCCCTTGAATTCAGTATTATGGGTGATTCAGTTATTGAATTTATGCAAATGACTGCAACCACTGATTCAAAAAGGCACTGTGGAGCTTCAGCAGGTGAAGGTATAACTGTGTCTCCATTTTTTGTCGTTGCCACCTAGTGAAGCCTTCCTAAAATTTGCCCCCCTTCAGACATTAAACATTTGTCTTCAGGATCTTGCTTACTTAAAAAAAAAAAGCCTCCAAAAAACACCACCCCCCCAAAATACTTCTGAGGAAGAACTTTTCACTTCCTCTGTGAATTATCATGCCAGCTTGCAGCCCTCTGATTACTGAAACTTCTCTTGGTTACCCCACCTCCTCTGTTTGACCCCATCTGTTTTTACGTTATGTCTATTCTCTTTGAAGATATTCCTGGGTGTGACACTCTTCCTTTGAACCCTTTAGTGGCTTCCTTTCTTCTAACACTCCCCCTTTTACACTCCCCCCTCCTGTCCACACAGCCCTGCTGCTGATCCCTGATGATCACTTCCTCTATTTTACTACATTCCACTCTGTTGCCTCCAGCCCCCTTAGCTCCAAAGATGATGAGAGTCTTCACCATGTGCTGCGCACAATTCTTCCACAAAAAATTTTGGTGGTGCTCTAGCCTTTCCTAAGCACCCACGACTCGACCTGCAAAGTTACTACCACTTTTTGAATAGTGTGATGGGTGGGGTGGGCAAGGACAACCGAAGAGACAAACACGGTAGTAATATCGGAATTACTAGTATGGTTTTACTAAGATTGCTGCATGTCTGAAGCATGCATTTCAACCCATCTTTGAGTTACTCCAGCATATTGAGTTTGTAAACATGTTGGGGAATAAAGCAACATACAAAAATAAAAATTTTTAATCTTTTAACTTTAGGTAGTCTTATTCCTAGCTGCAGACTAGCACAACCTTTCATGTAAGCACAGTTACAGGAACAGATATATTTATGTGTACATGTACATACACCACAGCATATGTATGAACAAATGTTTATCTGCAGACAGACTACACAGAAGCTGAATTAAAAGGCTGATAGTATTGCAAAGACTGACACTCACACTGTAAGAAATGGCAGTTAAGATTGTCTGAACAATCACAACTGGACCCTCTCACACACAGGCGTTGCAGAGTCTTGAGTTTCGAAATCATAAATTCAGTTCTTCCACAGGAACCCTCTTGCTCTCTCCCACCCTGCTGCACCCTTGGCATAGACTGAGCCTTCTGCTATTAGTCAAAGTTGGGCAGAATGTAAGAATGTTATTTGCAGAACCAGGATATTGACCTCCTCTCATGCAGAAGCTGGTAAACACATAGTGAAAGGAGGAGGGGATGCAGGATGAGAAAGGATGTATTCCTTCATGCACCTTTGCAGCTAGGGTGGCTGAGACTTTGCCAATGGCTTTTATGGACACTTGCTGGCAACAGAGGACTTGCCAGTCTCAGTTATTACCACCCCAGGCACCAAGGTGCAGCCTAGTAAACTCCTCATCTAGTCTTACTCTTCCTTGCCAGGCAGAACTATTCTCTCTACCCCAATCTTTTCCCCCTCCCTCTCTCCCTCTGCCTGCCAGCTGTCCATTCCAGTTTACACCATCCAAGAACCTTAGGCTCAATGCTTCTTATGCTTTGAATACAATCTCAGTGCACAGCAACAGAGAAAAAACCCTCTCAGCTTTTGGTACAGCTCTACAGACCTTATATGCACAGAACAGGTGTAATCCTAAGAGAATTTAACTGGTAAATCTTTAATAAGTCTCTGTCAACCCCACGCAAACAATCTCCTAAAGGTTTAAAACTGAAGTCAGAAATGGGCAGTTCCCCACAGAATCAGCAAAAGAATTTCCCTCACACAAAACAACCTTCTTTCCTTCTCCATCCTGCACCCCCTAAGGCTGAGAATATGCATTAGAGTTTCTCCAAGACAACTTTTAAAATTTGGACAGAGCACTTTATTTTCTTTTAACCTTGTTCTTCTTTGAAAACCAAACTCTTTTTATCATCTTAAAAAAAAAAGTTTCAGTATGAAACTGATCCTTGAATGGAAAAATTTGGTCTGAATGAGTCAAGTCTTGCAAAGTTCTGTACAACCACATAACATTTCTAGGTATTTCCTGCTGAAAAAATGTAAGTTGGCACTACCAACTCCAGACAATATAAGAACAGTATGAGAGACTGTATGCACGTATGTAGATACGTGTTTGAGCATATGAATGAAAAAAGTGATAGAAAAATGTGACAATACACACATATAAAACATTATACATGACTGAATATGAAAAAAATAGTCCTCAACTAAAAAAACTGAAAAAATCACTTATCAAAAATAATATCTATGATTTGAAAAACAGAAATACTAATAGGATTACTACTACGGAAACAATGCTGACAGAGTGCCACCTTGTTTTCTTAAAGAAACAATCTACACTTCTGATACCTCTCCCCGTAGACCATAGCAACATTATGACTTTTAACTGAGAACTGATACTAGCCAAAATCCACATTTTCAATGAAAAGTGTCTGAAGGACAGTGAAACACAACTCTGCTTTCTGCAAGACTAGATGGTCAGATCACCAAGACTCAGTGATATGAACATTGTTATTACAGACTGAAGATGTTTACTACATTTTCTTATAAATTTTGTGTGCCACCTGCCGCATTCTTTCTTTCCTTTATATCAAGTTATGTAAGTGTAACAGATTGTATTACCTCTGCTCATCTTGGGACCGGTAGTCAGAATACCATGTGTGGATCAGTCATCTAGTGCTCATAAATTAATCACCACCAAGAAAAGAATGCAGTGTCTTTTTAAGAGCACAAGTTGTACTGATACTGTTACCTGCTCTGGTGATGAAAATGAGCATCTTTTCATCAGCCTCAAGTGCCTTTACCCAAGACTACATAAAACCAGTCTTGGCAAAGATTCCTTGTTGTAAATGTAAGTTGTTAGAGGTTTTCATTTATCTTTATATATTTGTGAAAGGGAAAAGATAAACTACTCTGAAGTTTACCACCAAAATGAACATATCTAAATTACTGCATTCATAAGGAATTATGTTATTATACAAATGCAGAACCTGTGAAATCTAAGAAGATGATTTCAAATTGGTAAGTCAAGACAGTGTTTTAATTCTATTGTTACATACTGAATAAAAAAAGAAACCCAACAACTAAACCAGTATTTGAAGCTCAATTCACAGAGAAGTCAAATAATTTTTGTAGAAGCCTACAAAATCTGTGCACCTCAGTCAAGACTTATTCTATAAAAGCAGATAATAATTTTAGTGCTGTTCAAGTCACAGAAATACAAAATGGTTGCCAATATATTGTTTTGCTAGATGCAGAGACACACCAGGAATGTCAACAGCCTGTTTTCTCAAGAAAGCAAATACTGCATATTCAGGTCAGTGAATAATTTCAGCAGAAAGCAGAAGGGAAGAAATACACTTATTGAATATTCTCCCTGTAGT